AGGAGGCATACCAGCGAAGACCTACCAGAGTGGAATACTCCTATACTCAGTGGCAAGGCCCTCCTCCTCCACTCGAATAGTACACATCCTATCCTGTTGGTGAAGTTGTCAACCTTCCGGATGGAATCTTCCTCGGCTAGGATAGTTTGAAACTGTACACAGCGTTGGGCGGTGCACATAGGAGGAGTTTGATTTACCTTTTTCTCGGTGGCCAGCACTACACCATTCTTAGCCTTGATTCCCAAGGCGGGTTTCCCCATCGATACTGCATTGAGAGCATACTCGATCTGACCCAGCTTACCGGAGGGGGAGAAGGTAGTCAATGAGAAGGAGTACTCGGAGTCCATATTAGGCCTATAGAAAAAACAACAACCACTGTAAGAAGTATAAAGCACTGGTGAATGTGATAATGGTCATATCCTAAACGACCACTACTCAGAATGGCCGTGTATGAAATTGCAAGTCACAAAAAACACAAGAAAATTGTCTCAGCCAAGTTTCGAACCTGGGATCCCATCAAAGCAGCCGCATTTTGAAAAGCCCTCAGAAGTTCTATCACGGAAATAGATAGTTTATGAACTACATCAACTCTTCCTTCCTGTTGTCCTTTCTACCCTCGAAGTGTTTGGAATACCACTCGGCCCTGAAGTGCCCTCCCATTTGACCATTGCAGGCTTTCTAGTCTAATAAGCCATGGATATTTCGGATTACCTTCGATTCAGCGACCCACGGCTTGTGGAGAAGCTTCGACAGGAGACTGAAGTTGTCGGTTATGAAAGTGGTTCACCAAGCACTGTAGGTTTATCTGCCGAGGCTTCCTTAGATGCTAGCTTGCTCCAGACTAAGCCTCTGAGTAGTACTATTCAGGGGGGGATAGGGGTTCATGGGAAACTGCCATGTTATGACAGAGAAACGCAAGTCGTGGCTTCCGAGCGGATTGCATGCTTTTTCGCGGTCCAAGAACGAGTGTGTCCGGGAGTATTTCCGTAAAGGGAATTATAAGGGGCAATGCACACCTCTATTCGATGGGAGAGTGGTAATACACTGAGTCCATCCTAGAAAGTGTCCTAGTGCCAATAACATAGGTTATTGGCCCACAGTGGTTGGCAGTGTCTCTGTCTATGCTGGTGTTACTACTCATGTCATTGAAGATGGTATTGCATATATGCCCTCGCCTTGTGGAGTCTGTTGCGGAGCTTGGTGGAGCCGTACATGGTACTATTCAGTGGCTCGTTTGCCGTCTAGTATCACTCCTTCCTCAGTTACCATGTTCTTCACCGGCCTTCTCGATTACTTTTTATTGCCGCTATCGTGGGTAATACCATACCTCCGGCAAACTAATCCTTCCCTGTGCGTGCGTCGTTAGATATTCTTCTTCCTAACGGCATTTTCTGACCCTGGGATCATACCACGTAGCAAGCCTGAGGACCATCCAGAAGAGTTCATAGCAGAACTAAGGCCCCAGCAACTGGATCAGCGGTAAGTTCTGTTTGTACTGCTTCCTCATGAACGATTCGAGACTCCTCAGAACTGGCATGCCTCGACCTCGTTACCTGCTGTTGAATGGCGTTGCGGTGAAGCAGAAGTGGTGTCGTAAGACGCCCATTGGAGCGAGGACGAGCATTGCTGGTGTCTGGGCTTAGGTACTTGTCGGATATACAGGCCTCCCAGAAGCCACCATTGTAGCGTTTGTGATGATTGTGTTACGCGATTCGATCATCATTGTGCTGTACTTGGTAGGAGCCATCTATCCAATGTAGACACCCTTCAGGCTGAATTCCATCAGGCACGTGTGTCGGTCTGGGTAACTATCGCTACTTCTTGTGTTTGATCGTTACACTAGGTAAGTACTCGTGTTCTACAACAGACCATTTGCGTTGACTCTCATCACTCTAGGTTTATCAAGCCTGATAGCACTAGCTCTCTGCATAGCCCATATAGTGACTGCGGGTGAGTCACATTGTTGCTATTACCTTCTTATGATTATATGCCTCAGCCGAGTGTTCTGGACAGAAGGTAGGCTACTTCATATTGGACCATCTAGATGACTTCCTCGTGGCCATATTCTGTGTTATGCTAGTCTTTGGATTTGCTGTAAGTCATAAACCAGGCCTCGCTCGGGACCTGTCGACTCGTCCTTTTCATCACATCAGATGTTGAATATGTATCACCTGTACATCACAGCGCATAATCTCTCGACCAACGAGCACTTGAAGCGATACTATAGGATGAACCCCTTCGACCATGGCACGAAGGATAACTACTCCAATATCTGTTGTAAGTGTTCTCCCCTTGCCTTGTCCTTTGCATATGCTCTATAGGCACTCCTGACAAGCTCCTGCCAACTGCAGCAGGTGGGATGAATATATTTGCTAGTTACCGTAAGCTGATTGTCTTTGATATCCCTCTTGAGGTCGTTGGGCTTTCCTCAGGCCAAATTGGTACCCCGAATTCGGACTGTCTGTCGGAACTGTATGATTGAAGGAGAAAATATTCATCATATACTTGCTACTATGGTACTCTCTCAGAGACCCAGTTTCTTACGCCCATCGATTCTCGAGTTCAAAAGTGGCTCACTTCATTTCCTCTGGCTCGCGCAGTCAATCAGCATGCCGATTCGTCGTAGTGTGCATATGAACTGTTCGGTAGAGCGGGGCCTGTACCGTGGATGTACCGTGAAGGCGCGTTATTGCTTGATCGTGTGCATGTTGCAGATCTATGAGGTTTACGTCCCGATGACTAGTTGCACTATATGTTCGTGAGAAAATCTTCTGTGGAGGAGGCTGAGTAAGTGAGGGGGACAAATTGCACAATTTCGCGCTATGATATCAAGCGATTACTCTCTGCTTTCCGTACGGCAAAGCTTTCTTCGACGCTTGCTGTACTCATAGGTTACGTGTCGGATTGACGACTTCTAAGTGATGTCTGTGATTAATGATGGAAGCATAGCCTGCCAGTTCTCCTGTCATCTCGCTAGCCCCAGTGTCACCACTATGGCACGTGGGGTCAGTAGATGTACAGAAAGTAAACTCCTACAGTTAACGCATATCAGGCCTTTACCTCACTGTGGTTACCTGGTATATGCTGGAGGGACAATCATCTCTCTTATTGACGTAGGCAAATCGGCGTACATCTCGCTATCCTTATGCTCTCAGAACTAGCCTAGCGTTGAAACATCGACGACTGGCCTGTTCGACGTAGTCTAGCTTGGCGATTCTCTTCACGGGGTTGAGTGCATTACTAGCGCCTTAGAAAGTGTAGAACTGTCACAGACACGCTATGCGCACCTAGTCTCTCAGTTGCTGGGCATTGGAGTATGCATGTCCTCGTACCAGCATCGGGCTGAACCGAGCAGGAACAGCAGCGTGGGTACCGGGTATCCAACTTTGAAGGAATCCGGTTTATCATAACGATGGTTATTCCCAGACTACCAACAACCTGCTCACGAGGCGAGAGGATAGCAGTCTTCAGCGTTGAGTCATCCCCACCTCTGTAGGGGTTGGTGCCAAGTTGTAGGCAACCGCAGAAAGGGTATCGTCGGGTGTTGTTAGTTCAAGGTAGAGAGAGGATGTTCTCCTTGAAGGTGGAAGGTCGTTTGGAAAGACCACGCTATAGTTGGAAGTATCACTTGAGTGAATAGTATCGGCTGGGAGATCAGTGATGACGAAATCGAAGCCAACTTCAAGGAGTTTGGGTATATAACTGAAGTTTGTCGTCCGAGAAAGAATCTCTTCGCCTTTTTCCGTCTCGAAACTGAACGATAGGCGTCGAGCCTTCTGTTGCTGGTCACCTAGGAAAACCCTTCACGGTCGGCCTGTAGCGTTTGAACTATCAACACACGGGTCGGCAGGTATCATCGGTCTGTCCGTCGTATTGCTGTGTTGGATCTCCGAGTCGTTCAGATATCCA